GAGAAAGTTTAAGTCGGCTTTGTTTCACACAAAAATATATTGAATACATTCTTCATTTTTTTATTTCAAGAAGACTATTTATAGCAATAGGCCAAAAAAGTTTTTCCATGAATCGATGACTGAATGCGTGACGAGTAGTTTTCCAAACTATGAATTGTCTATTTGTTTTCTATCGATAAAAATAAACTTGTTGTTTTTGTTAAAGTTTGATAGAACAATCTTTCATTTTTAACTAAGAGAAAACAGAATATCTTAGATTGATTTATCGTATGTAAAAAAAAAAACATATGCATTATGTATGCATTGAATAAAAATAAAATAAAATTTCTATACGTAAATATATTATAATGAAATAGAATTCTTAAATACGATAATATGGAATGGACCGATTAATTTAAATAGTTTTTAAATTGAATATTACAAATAATAATGTTGATTTCTGAGAATACGAATGAATGTAAAATAATAGAGATATACTTTTAATCACTAAGGACAAATTTAGTCTAATAAAAAAGTTGCGTTGATATAATAAATAAAATTGAAAAGGAAGTTCATTTTTTTTTTGCAAAGAAAATCCAGTATTTTGAAATCATGACTAATCATAGTAAAAATTAACCAAGCATTTGTATTTATTATTATGTAAAACTACTTAAGGTGACATGGAAGAAAACATAGTTGAATTAGCTATAAAAGTTATCATGTAATATTTCTTGTTTTTTTAAGCAACAAAGTCTATTATTGAATATCAATATAATTTTAACTGTTCATTTGAATATCATTTACTGATTGTTCTGTTGACAAATTAAAAATTAATATAGTTAAGCAGTTGTTATTTGAATAACGTTCAAAGAAAATGTCAGTACAAATATATTGTTATGGCAAATATTTGAACATACTCGAACTATGAAATAAACTCTGTTTAGAATAATAAATACATTCCAATGTTTGAAATTTTTAAGAAAAAAAAATACACTGATTACACCAATTCAAATATCGATTAAATCCCTTTTTGGCATTCTAGTAAATATTTGATAGGTTCAAGTTCGTGTGCTAGACTAGAACTGTCATATGCGTAAATTCTATACAAAATAATTCACACCCTTGAGGTAAACGTGTATGAGATCGTAATTCGATAACAAATACGGATAGAAAACTAAAAATTACTGCATTGCCAATACTTAATTGAAAATTTCTTTTTTTTGTATCTTCGATACAGATAATTAGTTTATGTTGTAATTTTTCAAGAAGAAAGAGACTAAAAAAGCAACAGCTATTCTGGCTTGTAATAAGTATTGACTCGGTATAGTTTCATTCAAGTTTTTTGCAATTTCAGTTTTCATTATCTTCATCCTCTTCAAATGTGTTATGGTCGAAACTAACAAATCTCTACCATATGAAACCAAACAGAGATACTGTAAGAATGCTTTTTATTATTGGTCCAACTTAAAAAATTATTCCATAAGTTTCGGATTACGCTAATCAATCAACTTAAGTAATATTTCCCGAGACATCACTATTAAATGGAAACCGTAACACTGGCTCACCAATAAATACTTTATTATAATCTTTATCAATCAAACAAATATAATAATAGATTAAAATACGATGTACATGTCGTTCTTATCTTCATCCTCACATATACCCTAGACCATCAAAGTCATAAGAGTAAGATTGCCGAGAACAACAATCCTGGTATCAACAAACGCATCTTGACTTTTTCGCATAAGTTAATTTTTATGCATCAAAGTTTTGGAATAGATATTAAGATTTTTCATTTCATCATTAGTATTCTCATTTTTTTCATATTTCACAACCAAAATGAAAAATTTAAATATCGTCAATTTTAATGTATAACTAAAATATATTCAATATCAATGTTAACTTTACTGAATATTCAATGACTATATTCTCGTGTTAATCGAGATTATTTATTGCAAATTTGTAATAGAATTTCATGTATTGATGATATACTAATCTGATTTAGTAAAAACATTATTGACAAATAATTGTTTTCTTTATTTTCAAGAATTTTAATCAACAATACAAAGATCAAAAAAAAAGTTTTACAGTCGAATACTTTTTTTTTACACTATCGATAATAAATTGAACTGCCTTCTTTCCTATAAAATACATACGACAAATATTAAAAGATAAAAGATTATGTAGAAAAAGAAAATTTACCAATAGTTATCCAAGCGTTTCTTAAATAATGGATCTATTTGACTTGTATCGAAATCAGCACCTAAAAAAAGGATAAAAGAAATTTTTTCTAGATAATACGTAAGTTCTTAATGAAAGAGTGGCAGATAGACATTATACTTTACCTTAGTCATTTTAAAATTGAGATTATCCTACTGAAATATGATTCTCTAATCAACTTTAATATCTTTTTACATATTTGAATAAAAATCCTTACATAATTAAAATAGTTGTTCTTTACAATAAAATAAATGATCTAGAGTCAAAGTCAACCGTTTCATAATTAAGTCTAATGATTCTAATTTTTCTACATCGCATCATAAAAGCTCGTTTATAAACTGCTTTCAGAAGCTCTTAGTTAGAGTTCGTTGGATAGGATTAGAACTTGCTTAGATCCAAAACTGTTCCGAAGAGCGATATTCTAAAAGAACTAATATTAACTTGATTGTTATTAGAAATATGTAGAGTCTGTAAACTGCCGTATAAAAATAATCACAAAAAATATCTCATACCTTTGGAAGAATTATCAAGTGTAAATGAAAAAAAATTAGTTAAGATTTAAAGTAAAGTTCAGGTTCGGGACCGAAAAATTTTTGGATTCGACGCATTCTACTCATAATTAACTTTAATGAATATACTGGTAATAGAATGTCCTGCTGCCAACTGATGCACTACACGGATATTCTTTTTCTGCCTGTTAAAGTCATAATTTTGTCGAGTTTTAGTTTTTCACTGTTGATACAGTTCGAATTGTCCTCTGTCAAATGTCATATAAATTAGGACTCTTCGTTGTTATTTAGTACTTTTATTAAATCTAACTCTCGAAATCACTAGCAGGAAAACTAACATTGGGGTTACTTTTTTGTATATGAAATTTTTCTAATGATAATGATTATTTTTCATTCCAAAGGTGCTGAGAGTATAGATCAGAGATCTCTAACATTGCCGAGTATGGTCCATTTTCAATCACTTTAGTTAGAGAACAAAGTCTCAATTGAAACAGGCAAACTCACTCTTCGTTTTTCTCGCAAGCACTTTTCACACAAAAGCACAGAATCACCTCTGTTTCTGCAACATAGTACATTCGATAGTGCGGAAACTTCTTTTTACAAGCATTAGACTGTTTAGAATGCGTACTTTTTTGTTTCAAAAAAATATTGTATCCTTGATTTTTAGTAGACTTAAAAGAAACATTGTATTTTTGATGGTACGTTCAGTGTTTTAATCTTTTTATTTGAGTTGAAGAAAACCAAAATAGGTAGCCATCTGAAACAATGTCTAGTATCTGTAAAAAAAACAGCTCTACCGGACTTATTGTGACGGAGAAAGTGAGGTGATTTTAACTTTTGCGATTTCAATATTTCGTAAAATGAAATATTTGGAAATTCAAAGTCTATGACAATTTTTGTTCTACTCATCAAAATTTATCTATTGTGAAAGTTTCAAATATTTCTCATGAGGAATCCTTCAGAAACTTAGAAAGAGAGATCTCCTTAAGCTTGTTACATTTAGAAATATTTTTAAATTTAAAAATAAAATGATCGAAATCTTTCTTTGTAACATGTAATTGTTCATTTACTTTGAAATGTATTTAATCTGGTCAATGAATCATTATGTTCGTTTGTTGTTCCCAATACACTTCTATCATTAACATCACTTTTTAATGCACTTAGGCCAGTTTCATATGCATCAACAAATTTGGAAATCTAGAAAAAAATTTAATAAATTATTTTTAACAAGAATTATCAAATAAAATTTTGTTTTTTTACTTGTTCATAATTTTGTTTAGCAAGTTTTTTTCTTTTAGCTTCAAGTTTATTATATTTATATTGTAATTTTTCAAGTATTTCTAATTCTTTTTCAACTTCATGTTGATCATATTTAGTTCCATGTTTTTGTAATTCTTCAAGAGCTGTATATCGTTGTTCTAACTCAGATTTTAATTCTACAAATAAAACAAAAATAAGAAAATTATTGAATTAATTCTCATTTCTTTTTACGTTTTAATAGGAGATCATCAGCTTCAATTTCTTTTAAATTTTGTTCTGTTGTAGATTGAATATGTTTTGAAAAACCTAAATAATAATAGAGAAAAAACTTGTTCATAGAATGAATTTTTTGAGGAAAAAAATATTATTTTTTTTCATACTTTCATTCATACATGTTACATACAGAAACGAATCCATTTGTGTGAAAAGAAAAAAAGAAAGAGATTGGAAGTTGGGTAAATATGAAACGAACAAATCAGAATTTTTCTATTTAGTTTCATGAGTTTTTATTAATAAGAGACAAAACCCACATGGCATCTATGGAGTCTAGTGTAGGTTTAAATAAAAAAATTTTATTTTTCAAATTAAATAATTTCTTTAATTAGTATGATTTAAGTACATCACAATTTTTTCTGATGCTCGTGTTTTTCAAGTTGAATTTGCTAATAAAGCTGTTGAAATAAGTGGAACAATTGTAGTATTACGATGTAAAGATGCTGTAGTATTTGTAGATGAAAAAATTATTACATCACGTCTTTATGAATCTGGTTCAAATGAACGTCTTCATAATATGTTGATAAACACATGAGAATGGTTTTTAAAACAAAAGCTATATTTGATATTTAATCAAATTTTTGTAAAACAAAATGCTGTTGCAAGACAATTTTTAACTTATTGCTCGAGATGAAGCTAAACAAAATAAATATGACTATGGCGCATCGATTCCAGTGAAAGTATGTGTGACTTTAAGCGACTTTATTGATCAAATGCTTGATTTTTGTTTAGTATGCAGCAGATCGTCTTGCAATATATATGCATGCTTATACAGTATATGATTTTGTAAGACCATTTGGCTGTTTTATTCTCTTAGCAGCTTATGAAAGTGATGAACTACAATTATATGGTTTTGAACCATCTGGTGTTACATATGTAAGAAGATTTTATTAGATGTAAGATGATGATTATTTAGTATTTCAGAGTTATTATGGTATTGCTGTAGATAAAGCACAAAAAACAGCTAAGACAATATTCGAAAAACTTAAGGTATGATTTATAATTTATCGGAAAATCAATGTTAGACTTTAGTTATTTTAGTTACCGGTATTAAATTTGGAATATGCAGTTAAACAAGTAGCAAAAATGTAAATATCTCATGTTTAAAAATTAGTGATCAAAATTGAGACAAAAAGTTAATTTATGAAAAAAGAAAATGAATATTTCAATTTGTATCTCTTAAATAAATCCTTTTAAAATATTGTTGAAAATTTAAAATATTCAACAGAAACTAAAAGATAAATCATCATAAATCGGACTAACTGTAAATGCAATTTTTCAATCATTAACTAATATATTCATTCTTATATATAAAAAAATGAAGAATTTCAAGCTCTACACAACTGTGTACTTCACTCTTACAGAAGCTTTTTTTGTAATATCGACACAACATATACATTGAGATACACTGTATATTTCTGAACAAATGAAAAAAGTGTGCTACCGCCACTGAAAAATTTGCTAGATTTCTATCGAAAATCTTCTCGATAAAATCGCTTATTCTTCAAAATTTACAATGGAAGCTTCATATAAAAATTCAGAACACAATAAATGAAAAAGAAATAAAATTTTACATCCATTTTAGGATCTATTTGATTTTTCGTAAATTTTGGCGAAAACATATCATGCTTCAGTTCATCAGTCACGGAGTGTTGTAGAAAACCGAACCCTGCATTTTAACGAAACATGATTTAAAATGAATGTTGAAGTATATAGGGTAGAAACTTAAAACTCCTCCACAGAACTTAAAAAAATCATCATCAAGAAGTGAATTAGTCAAATATAAGTCAAAATTCTCTATATCTTGATATCAACATCCGTTGCTTTCGACACTCTACATACTTTTGAAAAATACGAGTAACCAATACATGCTAAAATGTTCTTTACGAAATGTTCCCAGTTTTTTGTCCTTGAGAAAATGTGCCAGATCCAGAACTGTTGGTTTATTTTAAATCTAATGTAACTGAAATATAGACACTATTGTAATATAAACATATTTCAGTATATATATTCAAGTTTTTTATATAGAATATTTATTTCTATATGGAAGCAATCGAGTAAGAACGAAAAAAGCTCTCGAGTCTACGCACACCTATGTATTGTGTAAGACATGTTTTCAGAGACGAAAAAACGGATGCATTTCGAAAAAGGTATTTTCGATAGGACATTCTAAACTGTTATTCGAACAACGATGCAGCAGAGTGGAAATATGTAACATATATAAATATTTAGATTGTCGTGCAAAAGCAGTATTCTTGGTAAAAAGTGAAGTTGTTAGCTTTGTAAAGCTTCGAATTCTCTATTTTTGGTATATGAGTAAATATTTTTTAATGACTTTTAAATGAAAGGAAAATTGGATTTATATTCACTCAGATTCGTTATGGTCCATCCGTTTCTTTTTTACTAATAAAATATTTCTTTATTGGATATTTTTCTAGTTGTTAGCAAGTTCATGATGAAGTTAAAGACCAAATGTTTGAATTAGAACTAAGTTGGATTGAACAAAATAAGTACAAGCAAAACAAAGTCTTAATTAATATTCAATTTTTGATATTGCTTAGTTGATGATGAAAAACATGAAAGAGTATCAATACATACCTTTGAAAATGCTGAACAATATACAAAAATGAAATATATTTTTTACTTTATTCTCAATTATATAATTATTTATTTTTAGACATTACTGGAAGAAGAAGATGAGGACGATGATAAAATGTAGAAACTTGATGTTAATTTTTCATTGGTTTGTTTTTGTTATTCTCATTTTTTTTTGTTATTTGAGACGACTTATTTTATCCTAGATGAGAAGTCATTTTTCTTTTAATCACGATGATAAAGAACAAAATTTGATACTCATTGATAAATAATTAAAAGAAAAAAAAGAAAAAAAAAAGAAAAACAAACGTTTATCTATCGTTGTTTAGTTTGTCGTTACAGATATAAGCGTTACAACGAAAAAAACATGACTGATTCATTTTTCTTTTCTTATCAGTGATCATTTATAAAGCCAGTATATGGATATCAAGAGAATAACATAACCAAAACATTTATCAATTTTTAATCGAAATGGAGTATTCAAAATTGTATAAATTGACTGAACAGGCGTCGAAGAAATTATATGAATCTGTCAATGATGTTGAATCACTGAATGAATGGAAAAAACAAATGATTAATTTAATTAATGAAATTTCTGAATTGAAATTATCTTCATCAATAGAAATTAATAAAATAAATAATACATCTCTTGATCCTACAGATTGGTTATCAACTAGACATATTGCACATCAAATGCTTGATTCATCTATAGAATCTATTCAAACAATACGAAGTCATCCTGTTTGGCAACCAGTTCCCATCGAGATTCGTCAATCTATCGAACATGAATCTTTACCTGAACAAGGTCAAGCGCTATCAGACGTATGTCATGATGTAATAAAACATGTTTTACCATATACTAGAGGTAATACTCATCCTCGTTTTTGGGGGTGGGTCATGGGTGAAGGTACATTAGGTGGTATATTAGCTGAGATGATAATGGCAACTATGAATATCAATGCAGGAGGAGGTAGTCATAGTGCTGTTTTTGTTGAACGAATAGTTATTCAATGGATGCGACAATTATTTGGTTTTCCTAAAAGTGACAATGGTGGTATTGTTGTCAATGGAACATCAATGGCTTCAATTATTTGTATGGCAACAGCACGCCGTCAATTTTTAACTAATGTTAGACAAGATGGAATAGTTCATGGACCACAATTGATTGTTTATGCATCAAAAGAAGTACATATGTGTGTTGGTAAAGCATTAGAATTATTAGGATTTGGTTCGAAAGCAATGCATATAATATCTGTCGATGATAAGTTTTGTATTAAGATTGATGAATTAAAGAAGACAATAGAAAACGATCGAAAAAATGGTTTAACTCCATTTTGTATCGTTGGCAATGCCGGTATAACTTAGTGTTGAAAAAAACTTTTTTAAACTCATTTCTTTTTACATTTCAGGAACAGTCAATACAGGTGCTTTTGATAATCTTGTTGAACTTTCATGGATTGCTCGTAAAGAAAATATGTGGTTTCATGTTGATGGTGCTTTTGGTGGTTTAATTATACTTGATCCAGAACGTCGTCATTTAGTACAAGGTATTGAACAAGCGGATTCTTTAGCATTTGATTTTCATAAATGGCTTCATTGTCCATATGCTGCTGGTTGTGTTCTTATTCGTGATGGTACTCATCTTTTATCGACTTTTTCTGTTCATCAATCATATTTAGCTGATACTGAACGTGGTTGTGCAGTTGATAAACCATGGTTTTGTGATTTAGGTTCTGAATTATCACGTCCATTTCGAGCATTAAAAGTTTGGTTTACATTGAAAGAACATGGCACTATAAAATTAGGTCAAAAAATTGCCGACAATTGTCAACAAGCTCAATATTTAGCTTCTCTGTTAGAAAAATATCAAGATTTTATTCGTATTTTTCGTCCTATAACATTAAATATTGTAAATTTTCGATTAGAGCCTAAAGAATTAGATACATCTAATAACGAATCAATTGATGTGTTTAATAATGAACTTCTGGCTGATATTCAATTATCTGGTATTGCAGTAGCATCAACAACTCGTATTCATGGTCAACTTTATATTCGTGTATGTATTGTTAGTCATCGATGTATTCTTGAAGATTTTGATATTTTTGTGGACAATCTTCTCAAACTATGTCGTATTCGACTTGAAAATATTAAGCAATCAACAAGATCTGTCGATCAAGAATAAATTTTTTTCGATAGGGGACAGATATTGATAGGATATTTTTGGCTTTATTTCGACAGTATTATCTCTGTTTTTTCTTTCTATTACACACACAAAGTATTTTTGGCATCATATAATAAAAAAATGTTTTATTGAAGTAGAAATAGAAAAACAACATCAATACTTGAAGACATTTTGCAGGTTTCTTAATGTTATGATATGAATAATCGTATTTGTTTGTGTTTGCATTGATCTTGTCAGACATTACCATTTAGCTTGTTTTGATTCGGTGATGTATGTATTTCGACATGGCAATAAACAGGTAGAAAGCAATGCGAGTATCGTATTAAAAATCACAAAGCTCTCGATTGGAATGCGTTCTTTAGTTTTACTTGATACATCGATTGCTAGTATGTCATAAAATCTTTCATTAGATGTAAAACAAAATAATGAATAAGGTGACAGCATTACATTCAGCCACATTAAACTTCATCAAACTTATGTCATATTCATGCGATATCTGTTATTAAAAGTTATGTATTTCTTAGCAAGAATGAGCATTCATTGTTGCTTCATTTTTCCAAAGCAGATATCAAACGCAATCATTACACTTGATAGAATATAGGCATGTACCAATTCCTAAAACGTGATGTCAACTATGATATTTTTTTCCTTATTAAGAACATAGGTTCTATGTATATTTTTACTAAACATGCTCAGTTTTTATTTGTTCTATCCAAAGCTCTAGTTGAAATATTCGTATTTTTCAAGTCTTTTTTTTTACCAATTTATACTGATTTTGAGACCTGTGTTTTGCATTAGACAAAACCTAAGAATAGATTCAGAAAGAGAGTTCAAAATTGATTACAACTGGCAGAAAGAAATGCTAAAAAATACAATCATTTTCACTATTCTAAACTGCAATTAGAAATTCAAGAAATTGTTTTATTTCTGCGAACAAGCACATACTCAATATTGAGAATTACCGGACTTTTTTTTATGATTCTTCATGCTTTTTGCAATCAGTTTTGAACACTCTTTTCGAGTCTATTTTTAAGTTTTATGTAACGCAAAACACCGACCTCGAACCCAATAGAAAATGGTCAAAAACTAAAATTGCGACTTTTCGACTAGTTTCGAAACCTTTGTTTCGTATTTCATGAGTTATGACTACAGCTTTGGATAGAGCAAATAAAAACTGATCATGGCTAATATAAACAATCCACAGGGAACTACATTCTTAATAAGAAAAAAATGTCATCTTGGATATTATAGCGTAGGAATTGATGCAATTTTAATAGACTAACTAGAAAACAATAAACCTAATAGACGTTGAGGAGATTCTATATGGACCAAAAACATGTCTTGCGATTATCCAAGATGATTTCAAAAATTGATGCATGCATTGTAACGGTCATCCAAAAGAGAATTGTGCTTCTAATTATTATTAACGCTCATGTTGACCTGTTAAATGCACGAATATTAATTCCAAATAAATAAGATGTGAGTTGACTAAAACTAACCATGATTCGATATGTAAATAGTTAATTTTATGTATAGAGTGTATCGTTAAATTCAACAAAAAACGATTAATACAGTGAATAGATTGATTAGTCGATATGTAGCATTCAGATTATTTAATTACAACTGAAAACCTTTAATGGTAGATTCAAATTTTGAAGTTCTGAGTCAGTCATGTTTTATATATAGTCATTCTATTAGTATAGCTTCAATTTTTTTGTTGAATATCAGCTTTCATTCACTTTTAATTACAACTGTGATTTTTTTCTTTTTCATATTAAATTCTTTATTATGTTGATATTCATCTGCAAATCGGTATGATGATGCACATCCTCTTTTATTGAACCGTCCTCTTATGACAAACCGAATAAATTATTTCGAATAGACGATTGTACTTCAGTTTCATTTAATCAAAGTACAGTTACATCTTTGTGAGAACTAAATATCAGCTAGAAAAGAAAATGTATTTGCACGAATTAAATTCAATTTGTGTCGATTTTTTTTCGCAGCAATTATATTACCTAAAAAACATATATGTCGTTCTGTTACGTTTGAGGGAATTTTTAAAAAAGGAGGCATCTTTCTTTTTTTCAGTTTTATGAATTAACAGAAACATTATAAAAATCTTAATGATTTACTTGTATGACGAGAAGTAAGAGTATTTTATGTTTCAATTGAAATAGGTGTTAATACATTTGCTTTTTCTATAAAAAAATACATAATTAGAACATAAACTCTTATCACTTGTTAAATTTCAAAAGAGAAGAAAATCGAAAACATGTGAGATACTAAATAACAAGTCAATAGAAAACATATAATTGTTATTAGAGGGGTTTCGATAAATATAGCTTCTTATTTCATCCATCGATCAATGAATATGAGTATTTCATGACAAAGTTTCTACTCATTCTTAAATGAATGAGTGGTCCATAACTCATGTCGCCTCTTTTTTTTACAACTGTGTCGCAGTGAACACCGCTGCCAGAGACTATAATTACTGCGATGCAGATGAGCGCAACTACGCCGCAATACTCGCCCCGTACGAGCCAATGCATTTGATAGAACCAATCACGAACGATTTCGGCTTATTTGTAATTGACCATATCTTAGCGCTAAGACTTAGCTAGACACGATGACCGTATAAAAGGAAGTCGTTGTGATAGTATGGTTCATATTTCATCCTTCTATAGCCAGTACACTATCCAACCATGTATTCAAATTTTCAAAATGAAAACGTTGTGTACGGAGTTTTCTGGGGTCACGAATTCGAATTCGAGGTTAGATTTTTATTTCATTAATTTTTAATTATTAATTTTTATATTTTTTTAGTTTTAATTTTTTAATTTAGTTGTTTTTTGTTTTGATCTTTTTATTTAAACTTTTTCATTTTCGATTTTTGACAAATTTGTCAATTTAGGTTTTTTTTTCTTAACCCTTTGGCTGTCGTCGACGCATATATACGTCAAGAGTCTCGTCTTCGCAAGAACTAAAGCAAACATTCATAATGTATGTTTTTCAAATGTATTTGCGTAAAAACAAACCTTAGGCACCATGCGCTTCCCAAATCATCATTTTATTAAGGCACGCTATATGGATTGTTCTATAAAAAAGAAATAAATTTTCTGAAAAATCGTTTCTTTCTTCTCTTACGTCGACAGCCAAAGGGTTAATGTTTTTAATTAAATTTTTTACTTTTAATTTTTGATTAATTTTTTAGTTTAAATTTTTAATTCTTTTATTTTACTTTTTAATTTTTTTAGATTAAATAATTCTTTTTTTTTAATTTTAATCTTTTTATTGAAAATTTTTTCATTCCAGTTTTTTTTTTATTTTAATTTTTTATTGCGATTTTATAACTTTTTTTTAGTCTTTCTTTTTTTTTTGTTATAAATAAATTTTTATTCAGAATAAAAACAAAATAAAATACAGAACTACAGATTTGAATTTCTAACCAATGATTTTTTAGTAATTGCGACGCAGTTACGGCATAACTGTGTCGCAGCTCAATCGTAATCGAAGGCATGGGAAAGAATGGATCTGTCAATATTTTGCATATATTTTGATAGTATTACTACAGGAGGAAACAAATTTTGCTTTTACAAGATGCATCTTTTAATTTTCTACAATCTTACATGTTTCAACTGATTCGATTAGGATTCGTTACGTTGTAATTGACGATGAAAAAGATATGTCTCAAATCTACAACGTTTAAAACAAAGCTTTTTTGTTAATTTTTATTCTGCACACCTAAACACTTGAGTAAGTCTTTTTTTCTGTTTCTAAATTGATTTGGAACAAAAAATGACAACAACACATGACAAATGAAGTATTTTAAAAGTTTCAAAATTGATTTATTTATCTCTGAATAAACATTATTGTTAATAAACGAAAATGTTTGCTATTACTAATGGTTTTTCATTTGCGAAATAATCTTTATGACTTCGTTTAGGTTTGTCAAAATTTTTAATAATTTCGAAAGATAAGTGGTCAATGGTTAGTAGTATGTAAACATATTCCTTGTAATATCTGGATTCTTCAGTCGTGATATGTACCTGCTTAAGTTTATGAAGATTTCCAGAAATAAGGATAAAATCATACCCCTAAATTCACATCTGAATAGTCAATACCATCAGTATACATTTTTCGTGTATTTACAACGATGTTTATTCAGAGACAAATAATTCAACTTTGAAACTTTTAAAATACTTCATTTGTCATGTGTTGTCATCGGTTTTTTATTTCAAACCAATTTAGAAACTGAAAAAAGACTTACTCAAGTGTTTAAGTGTGTAGAATAAAAATTAGCAAAAAAGCTTTGTTTTAAACGTTGTAGATTTTAGACATATCTTTTTCATAGTCAATTTCAAAGTAACGAATATTAATCGAATCAGTTGAAATATCTAAGATTGTAGAAAATCAAAAGATGCATCTTGTAAAAACAAAATTTGTTTCTTTCTATTGTAATACTATCAAAATATATGCAAAATATTGACAGATCTATTCTTTATGAGTTATCCGTTATAATTAATTGTCTCAAATAGTCATAGAACAGTTAAACAAGAGATGTACTATAAAAAGAAAAGAATCAATCAATTTTGAACTTCGCTCATGATATGAACACATATATTACCATTTTCTCAAAATTAGTGATGAGTAAGTAGTGTATTTACAGTAATTGATTGAGACAGCACAATTAATATGGATTCATTGTATAGAGATGTAAAATATTTAGCTTTATTGAAGTGACTCATACTCTCTTGGTTTAAAAGAAAAAAGTATCGATAATATTGAAAGATTATCATGATCATACTGTTTCACTACTTAATATAGAATCAAATGATGTTCACTAGTTTAAGCTGTTCTCTTTTTTATTGTTTGTATAGATAACTAGTCATTCGTCATGGTGAGTAACGGATGATCGAATAGTAGTTTGACAAAATGTTTATTCATTTTTTAGCCTCTTAAAAAAGTCTGTAGAAATTCGAAAAATATTCGGTTTGAAACATAATTTTGTGTTCTTTCTCAATATTAATTGACAATTTTCTTAGAAGTTTTAGCTCAAGAGGTGTGAACTGACTTTTTCGACACCCTTAAATTAAGTTTGGAGGAGCTTGAAGAAATCAAGCTATATCCATTGTGAGAACAAAAATTATTTCAAATACAGCAAGCGAAAGAACTAACATTTCTTCATAAAATGATACACCAATGATTAGTTTTCTACAAGTTAGTGCGCAAGAGTGAGTATTCTGATAAGGAGTAATGTGTCAATTTTCTCACTTTTTATGGACAACCGACTTGTAAAATGGATGTGGTCATTACTGAATGATTATTCTGAAACTCTTGATTCTTATTTCTATCTGTAGAAACTAATTTCACCTTTATTTCTATGCAAAAAAAAGAAAGATAATTTTTTTCCGTCTAAACTTAGGTTTTGAGCCTTTAAAGGTCGACTTATAATACCTAAGTCTAAAATCTTAGAGAAATATTGAATCTATATTCAAAAAAACAATACAAAATCACTACTTTGAAATTTCTGTGAGTCCCTTTAAGAGGCTGAAAAATAGATGTACATTTTATTGAATTATTTTTCGATCATTCGTTATTATTTTTACTTTTTTTTTTCATAATAATTATCTATTCGTTGGATAAAATTGTTTATTATTGATTCTCTTTATTAACTATTGAACAAAAAAATAATAATAATGAATAAACAACTTATCTGACTTATAAGAAAAAAAAAATATATAAATTTAACTTCGCGATCGATGTCGGCGTTTACTTTTCTTATTATTTTTTTCTTCCATTCTTCTATGTTGATGATGTTTGGAATTTTTTTTCTTTTTTTTCTTATCCTCGCTACTCGTAGAATTCTCTCGTTTGGATTTATTAATTTGTTTTTCATATTCGTCTGGATATCGTTGCATAAAAAAAGCATGATCCCAACGATCAGCATTTATACCCAGATTAGATGGTAATGGTGGACCAAATTCAGCTTCAGTTTGATTGTTATTATTCTTGTTGTTACTTTCTTCGTTTGATGAAGACGATGAACGTTGTTTTCGAGAATGTCGTTTTTGTTTTTCATAAGGTGATCGAGATCGATGTCGTCGCTTCTCATCGTCTTTTTCTTCATTTTCTCGTTCATGTTCGCGTCGGCGCCACATAACATCTTCTTCAGTAAGACGATTATGAAATGAAACATGAGTAATTGATCGTTGAAGAAAACGATGCCGAGATGACATTTTAAAGTATTACTTTATTCTTTCATGTTTATGATTTTTATGTATGACAAATAACATTGCTCGTTTAGAATCGGCCAATTGGAAGAGAGTAAACAATTTACATTCCTCTAATAGCTTAATACTTTTTTTCAGCAATGTTAATAGTCAGATTTCTATATTTAATTAATTTAAATATTTAGATGTTTCATCTCCGTCATTGTCGACGATAGTTGGAAGTACAACATCTGCTTTAATTCTCAATAAATAAAAATGAATAGAACCAGCGATAATAATTCGTCGGCAGTGCCAAAAACATTTACAGATCTAACTGAACACAATGCATATGAAGAAAAAATAATTGCATTTGTGAATCCAAAATCGTATAAATTTATTTTAGTTATTTTAAAATTTAAAATCCATTTTTTTTCTGTTTCTAGTGGTGGTTTGCAAGGTCAATTTGTATTTGATCAATTAAAAGCTCAAATAGGTGAAGAGAATGTTTATGATCTTAGTAAAGATCGTGGACCCCAAAAAGGTTTAGCAGAAAATCAACATGAAAGGAATTTAAGAATTATTGGTTGGTGTTGTCGTTTTTTTCTTTTCTTTTTTTTTTTAAAGATATTTGTTGTCTTTTCTAACATTAGCATGTGGCGGAGATGGAACAGTTGGCTGGGTTTTATCAGCACTTGATACATCACAAATGCAGTATATGGATTTTGTTAGTGTTGGTGTTATTCCATTAGGAACAGGAAATGATATGGCCAGATTTCTCGGCTGGGGTGTTGGTTATCGTGGTGAAGCATTAGGACCTGCTATTCAATCATTAGCAAGATCAGAGACATGTTTACTTGATCGATGGAAAATTGATGTTCAAGCTACTGTAAATACTGGAGTTGCTAGAATAGAGGTTAATAAAAATGCTACTGATTAAAATTAAAAATTAATTAAGGTCTTTTAGGTTGCACAACCTGTTTTTAATAACTATCTAAGTTTTGGTGCTGATGCTCAGGTAAATTTTATAAAGTTTTGGACGAATATGGAAAAGAACTTTCATTCGAAGATGGTTACATATTGATGCTTCACCTGTTGTTTTCTTCGTTCTTTCAATTAACTAACATACTCTTTGATAAGGTTTTATTATACTGAATAATATATCTTTGCTTTAAAACATATATGACAAGTTGTTAAATATGTAATGTAGTCGAAATTGAAATAGGTTTTGATAAATGCAGAACTTGAAGAAAGACTAAGCGTTAGAATCTGAAGAATCAGAGATGATGATGAGAATGCGGAAAAGTATGGATCATGTTGACAGTAGATTTGAACAATGAAAGAATGAAGAACAGAATACGAACATATTCTCATTAACATCTTCATGTTCATTCAGATCTTTCCTTCTTTGTACCCTCGCCCGAACATTTCATGCTCTAATTCTTGGTCTTTGTTTGATTCATTCCAATGATGTTCCTGTTTTCGTCTGAAGTGATATGAACTATCTTAGAATTCCGACTTCGCGTAAATCAATTATGATCTTTGACAGCAAAATATATAAATATATATTCAGCATTTCTTAGACATATATAATATCTTTCTCTAGCGAATGTATCTAGCACAAATATCAAAACCATGTTTCTAATAAGAGAACCACTCGAACTGCTATCCGGTGTTTTAGCTCATACTAGACCTACAAGAATGTCTTGATGATGCTAGTGAAAATATAAAACAGTTCTTGTCCATGAGCTTTCGGAGCTAAGTTATCACTTTTTTTACTGAATTTTCAACTTATTTTTAGGTATATACCCAAAAACTTAAAAAAGCAGTATTTTGCGTGAACTTTTGCTCATAAATAGATTGAATCACAGGGAGAATATTCTAAAATTTCAAGATATTTTATAGATCATTAGACTAATCTACGGCCAAAGTTTGTGTCGAAATTCTATTCTTTAATTTGTTGATATATTCCTGCAACTAAATTGAAAATTTAGTGAAACATTTCTAACTTGGCCCTAAAAGCCGGTAGACACGAACTTCTTTTACATTTTCCCTAGTCTCATTATCAGTTCAGCCGGTAGGTATTAGTTCAAATAGTTGAGTCGTAAGTACCTGGACTAGAAGTATAGTGTAAAAAATTGATTTTTTTAAAAGAAAAACAAAAAAAATGTGATCGAAGATTATATGTAGTTGAATATTCTAATGAATAACTAATAATAATATCGACGTTGATCTAGATTGATAGCATGTCAGCACATGATTTATCATTCTAATATATGATGATCAATTGGTTACGTTATGAATAATGAGTTTCAAAAAATATGAGATATGAAATATCTCATGATGAAAATCAATAATTAAAAATAATTTTCATCGCTTTTCCTGAGTAGAACAACAACGTTTTATAAATTATTCCAACCATATAATCAATTCATCCATATTTATGTAGATTGCACTTGATTTTCATCTGAAACGTAATGCAAATCCAGGTCGTTATGCTAATCGAATATTTAATAAATTAGCTTATGGGTGTATTAGTTGGTAAATTTTCTATTTTCAACTTAATTTTTTTAATTCTAATTTTTATATTCATATTAGCAATACTTTTTGTGATTGTCAGTATTTATGTGGAAATATTGCTAATTTTTTTGAACTTCAAGTTGATGGAAGAAGTATGAATGAAGATTTACTTCGTATGCGACCTGATGCTGTACTAATATTAAATATAGCTTCATATGCAGCGGGAACTAATCCATGGGAAGGAGTTTATGATAATCTTTGGTGTGCAGGGTCGCAAACTGATGATGATCGATTTCGAGAACAAAGTTGTTCTGATGGTTATTTAGAAATAATTGGTTTTAAACATTTTGAATTAGCACGTATTCAACTTGGACGACGTGGTCATCGTATAGCACAAGGTACGAAAAAAAATATACAATCGTTTTTTTTTGTTATATGCAAAACTTTTATTTTTGGTATAGGAAGTGAAATAAGATTAAGATTTCGACGAGGTGTACCCATGGAAATAGATGGTGAACCATTTCCACTTGGTCCTTGTCAGATGATAATAACACGAAAGAATCAAGCCCGAATGATTGCAACTGAACGTAGCCAAGCTGCTCAACAAATTCAATCAAAACGCGTTTGACATTTAAATACATATTTTGTTAATTGTTTTTCACGATAAGTAACCGTTTCTAGTAATAGTTTCAAAACAGCGAATGTCAATCGAAGAATCTTAATCAACATAGTGTGTGTGGTTTTTTTTTATATTCATTTTATCCTACTGTATATTTTTTTTGTATTCTGCGCGTCCTGTGGTTATTTATTACTCTTTTACTAATGAATATTTGCCCGTGCATGTGTGTACGACATTACACATTTTTTAAATTTCTATTTCTCTTTGAAATTTTGTTTTTTTGAGTGAATATTCTTATGTTGGTGCTTTTTTATTTTTCTTTTCCTTAAACTAACAATGAAAAATGAATAATATTTTACATTTACTGATTTTGTTTCCTTGGAGAAATATGATTCACAGAGATGGTATCGATTCAGTTTTTAACCGTATTGACCGAATCGAACCGAAATTAGTTCGGTTAGAAATTTTTAAAAAATCGGTTGGTCACATTCGATTCGGTTGGAATGAATCGGTATAATTTTTTATTTTGAGTTCAATGGATATTTTTCTCTGAGATATAACAAGAAAAAAAGAATTCTATCGTACAACGATTAGATGTCGCTCGTAACTTAGATATTATTTCACAGTTTTTTCTTTGATTTTAATAGGTAAGCAAGTTATATTGCAATGTGATGCTTCAATGAATAATCTTCTTCATTCTTTATTTTCTTCAAATGTTCATTATTCGTTGTTGTTAGTATCAGATGCGGCAGAACGTATAGGCTGGGTGAAGCTTGAGCCTCGTCTTAATTTGATTCTTGTCGGCTCAGCATCAGTCGATTTCATGAATTTGTGACTTGATTGCTTGCAACTTTAGGCATGTTTGTAATACGAATTTCACTTTAGTGTGAGTTCTGAGGCCTGTAACAGTCTTATTTGTATGTTGTAATGAACGAAAACAAAAAATATGAGACTATAGTAAGCTCACTAATCGTATTGTTACAGTTCATTGTAGCATCGTTTAAATTATTTACATAAAGTGATATGAAGACTTAATAAATCTTAGAATTATGCGATGAACGAACACAAAAATAAAACATGTCTGAGAACCAGTCTTGTCTTTTATGATTTAGCAATTCTTTTCATTTTAGTTATTGACATAGAATCTTGACAATGATTTAAAATATCAGCAAAACTATAAACTAAATATAATCTGAAAAAGTTTATCTTAATATGACGCTCTCGGATATTTCGAATCCAATTGACATATTAGTTCTAACAATTCGATACAAAATAATAATATTATTCTTGCCGATCAGAATATGATACGAACCCAATGAAAAGAAAACAAATCACAAAACTTTCTGCTATATGTGAAATTTCAAATAGTCAACAAATCTTTCAAAAACTTGAGAAATTGATTCGACAGTATTTACACCGTAAAATTGAAGAGAAGTTTTTACAATCGAGGAGAGTTGATCAGAAGAATAGCGATTATGGATCCTCAGCATGTATATACTATAGTTTGTTCTTCTTCTAGAATAATGCAATGTCCCTTGGAAAGAGTTTTTGGTCTCATAGAAAAATTCAAAGAAAAGGATTCGGATTTGAAATTTTACGAATATATAGGTCTTATGATCCTTAAAATGCCATAAAATTATCAGCGAAAATGGATGCTATCCGATCGGTATATTCAATTTGGAGAAAACACTGACATTTCATAAAAGAACTCTCTTCTGCTCAATGCTGTGTATCTTGAGAAGAAAGTATCCATTTTTGCTGAGAATTTCAAGACATTTTCAAGACTATGAGATTTATTTATCAGTAAATTCCTTTCTTTCGATTAAGCTACAGGTCAGTTTCAAGGGACTTTTGTTCGAATATCAAATTGTGACAATAGACTAATTCAGAG